TTTATTAAAGAATTTGGGGTACAGCTGGACCCCTTCCCAATCCCCACACATACCACCTGGCAGAGCACCTCTGGCAAGCGGCGGCCCAGCCCAGCTACAGGGGCCACCCAGGCTGGAGGAGGCGAAGGATGTGTGGAGGTTGCTTTAGAAAAGGGTTTTTCAACTTTGACACCGATGACATTGGGGGCCAGATGATGCTCAATTGTGGGAGCTGTTCTGTGCCCTGTAGGATGTTGGGCAGCTTCACTGGTCCTTACCTACCCAGCCTAGCCAGTAGGTTGAGGAGCACTCAGCCACTAAGCTGTGGCCACCTCAGATGTCCCCAGACTTTGCAAATGCTCCCTGGTGAACAATCGAGAACCACCGTTCTAGAAGCTACTGTTCCTGAGACACTCTGCCCCCCATGCTGTCCTGACGCCGGCCCCCGGCCCTTTCACACCCTCTCCCTCAGACTTCATGAGGACCGAGTTGGTGATCTGCCCCAAGTGCCACCCAGGGAGGGACAGGCTTCTCAGGTTCCCCTGAACCCTTTATCCTGTGGCTGTGAAGGGGAAGGGACGACCAGCGCCTCCCTGGCACCTTGCCCAGTCACAGCCCTTTTCAGGGTGACAGCCCTGAGACAATGCTACTTTTGGGGCCCGGATCCCAGCAGCCCACAGGATGTGAAGGACATGTTTGTCCCGGCAGAGATTCATATCGAGGCTCAAAGTGAGGGCACCCTCCCCAAGGCTGGCCCGGCAGGGGTAGTCCCCCTGTGGCATCAAGATGACGGCAGGACTAGAGTTCAGAGCGGCCTGCCGCTCTTCCCTGCTTTATGGCCCTGGGTGAATCATAACACCCCTCTGCACCCAGATCCCTTATCTGAGGGCAGGGGACCTAAGGGTTATCTTCCGCAGCGTTTCTGGGGTTTGGCAATAATGGACTTCAGGCCACTGGCTTAGGAATGCAGCGGACTTTGTTTCAAATGCTGACTCCGTAATCTGATCAGCAGTGGCTCTGGGACGAACTGCTCCCTCTCTCTGAGCCGCGATTTTCTTATCTGTATCAGAGGCTCCTGGCAGGATCCCCCCACACGGTCATGAGGATCCCCCCAGAGGTCGACGAGAACATAGGCAAGGGATGTCGTGGGATGCTGGCACCAGGAGGGACTCAGTTAACACACTGCCAACCCTCTGATCCCCTTGGGCTTTGTGCAGCAGGTGGGGCGCTGCTGATGAAAGCTGGCCTGGGGCCCGGTGAGGCTGCAGACCCGAGCCCAGCCCCCGACCTTGAGGACACCCCATCCCTCTACCTCTAGCAGACTATGGCTGTACTTTGGGGACAGGAAGACCAGGCTGTACCCACCCAGGCGCAACTGGGGACTCAGAGAGGCAGTGGGTGGGACTGGCCTTAGCCCCCCTGTGTTCAGGGGTCACTCACCAGACCCATCTGGGGAAGCCAGGCCAGGCCTGCAACCTGCAGGACAACCTGGTTAGCACAAGCTCACACCACCTGTTTGCGGGGAGCCAGGCCCTAGCGGGGCCCTAGCCAGGCCCTAGCCAGGCCCTAGCCAGGCACCAGCAGGGCATGCTGGCAGTGGTGTGTTCACACCAGCCCCACTGCGGGAGACAGGTATAGGCCAGGATGCTTCAGGAGCTGCCCAGTGTGGGCATTTCACACCCCCACTGCTGGAGAAGCCAAGACAGGGGGAGGATCTTGCAGGCTTGCTTGTATTTTTTTTTTATATTCTTCTTTTTTTATTTTTTCACTTCACTTTTCACTTGTAAACTCTATTTGCTTCCTCCCACCCCATCAGGTACAGTCCCCTAGAGTTTCCTTCTGCAAGGCACCCGTGCACCATCAGCTCAGTCCCTTGTGCTCCTCCCTCTTTCCCTCTGGTCCTTCTTCTACCTCCTCCCCTGCAGGTGTCTCTGATTAAGGCCTCTGACTTAGGATCCCGCACACTTCTTTGAGGACTCTGAGGCAAGAGGAGTGCTGCTGGAGGAACCAGACAATGACCAGGATGCTGCACCCCATGAGGATGGCGCTGAGCTCACCCCACCCTCGCTGGGAGAGCAAGGCCGTGCCCCAGAGAATGCAGCCTGTGCAGGCGATCCTGAGCTCACACCAGACCTGCTGGAGGATCAGCCCCGACCTGATCCTGCAGGTTAAAGTGAGGGAGCTAAAGGAACAGTTCTGCCTACGGAAGCAGGCCCTGCAGGAATTCATAGCACAAGCAGAGGGTGCTCACCTGACACCACCCCTCCAGGGACCCAGCCCCTCCGCCCTGTCCTGCCTGTCCACATCAGGGACAACTGACCATTCAGCACTGCTCCACCCCCAACTTCTCCTCCTCCACCTCCCTAGCCACCTGTCTTTCTTTAACTTCTACAAGGCCTCTACCCACAGACACCTGCCCCTTCTCTTGTAGTTCCAAATCTTGGTCTCCTAATTCATTTCAAGTTATCTTCATGTATTTCCTCCAAGATTTCTTGTTCACTGTACAAATGCTAATACACTTGTTCTCTCTTCACCCAAGTTGTCTACTCCTTTGATGTCCATTCCCTTCACAGGGCTGACAATCTCCTCCCTGTGGCCTTGCAGACAAACAACTCCTCAGTGGGAGCCACTTAGCCAAACCACTACTGCCCAGCCCTCTCAGGCCATGATGCCCTCACCTGCCTGCCACCTCTGTTCCCATTTCTGCCTGGGGATCCCAAGGAAGGAACCTAATAAATGGTGACTCTGGGATCATCCCAACCACCCATTAGATAGCATACATGGTATCTGTCTATTTGGGTTGGTTGGACTTCCGTGGTGGCCTAGGGGTAAAGTCTCAGCACTGCCATGGCTGAATCCTGAGTCAAGCCCAGGCCAGGGAGCAAACGCATCTATGATGCAGCAGACCCCTCATGTCTTGCCCACAGTTCCCCCCAGTGGAGTAATTCAGTCAATCTGCCTGTTGTGAATCACACTCTGTCTCTGCTGAATCCTGAAATCCCTCCACACCTCTGGCCTACACCCCAGTTCTTCTACACCCAAAGAAAAATGATTATTTGCCATCTCTTGAATTTTAGGTATACAGTAGAGTAGGGTAAATGACTAATAGCTAATCAAATCAGATTTGTATCACGACATCAGTGTAATCAGGACAGTATTACTATTGTATCCAACAGTCCATGTTATGAACATGTGTCCATAGAAGAATGTAGTTTAGGAAGAGGGTGTCATCCAGAGTGGAGCTGTAATGGGATATCCAAATTTACAATTTCATTGAATCGATTGTTGTCTATTATGGAATTATAATTATTAGGACACAAATGATCATTGTTGAATTATAGATGTCTTGATGCCAGGTTGTAGGTCATTAGGTAAAGCTTGTGACGTGTAGATGGCAGCACATAGTGCCGGATTTTGTCTGCAGATCCGGAAATATCCAGTGGTTAATATTTGAAGATAACTCGCCTCTTGAGCCATGTTTCTGCTGAACCCTGTTGTCAAGCCCTGCAAACAGTGGCTCCGCGTGGCCAGAGTTGGATCAGCAGCCCTCAGGGCTGGTGCCTGGACCGTGGCCAGAACAGCCAGAGCACAGAGCTGTCCCGTGCCTCCCAGCAGGCCCTCTGTTCAGGTTCTGTGCTTCGTGATAGCTCAGCCCACGTGTTTAGACGGAGGTTCCATCAATAAAACCTTGCATTAGACTCCAGGGCCAAATTCAGGGCCTCCTCCCAGGGCCCAGTTTGTTTACACGCAACATGGATTGTGGCCGTCCAGGTCTTTTTCATCAACATTCCAGCAACCTGGAGCCAGGAAGGGCCTCTGTCCCCATGGGGTGCACCCATCCCCTCACTCACTCTCACTGCCCTCAGTGGAGAGCACAGGGCACACCCAGTCCTCCCCTCCCAGCAACCCTGCCCCACAGCCCCTCAGCTGTATGAACTCTGCCCGACCGGCAGAGGAACCCTGGCATCTCCAACTTGTTCTCACAGGGTGCCGCAGGGCCTGGGGACTGTCTGATCACCTAAGGGGAGCTGAGCTAGAGTCAGCAGCACTCGGGGAACCCAGAGAGAAACAGAGGGGGACACAGAACACTGGGGCAGAAACGGGCATGAAGAGAAGGACCGGGACAAACAGAGAGAAGGAGCTGAGGACGGACCAAAAAGGCAGAGAGAAAATCAGAGTCAGAGGAACACAGAGACAGAAGAAAGGGAGAGTCAGCTAGCGTGGACAGGACAGCAAGGAGCTAATCACTGTCGGAGTGGACACCCCATGCCCCGGGCCTCATCATCCAACGGTAACCCAGCCCTGCCGGGCAGGGTCAGCAGACATCTGCGAGCAAGGAGGGCGCCCTGGGAACACTGTGGCCGGCACTCGCAGGATGTGTGTGGCTCTGGCCCTTTGATTCGGGCCCACAAGACCCCTGTAGGGCACGGCCAGAGAGGAGCAGGGCTGAGTTTGGGTGGATTCCACCTCTCAGGAGAACAGGCACACCGGGTGGGAGATGACTCTGCCCCCAGCAGGGCTGGCCAAGCCTGGGTGAGGCGTGTGCAGGTGCCCTCCCCAAGGGGGAACCCTCCAAGTGCTGCGAGCCTGACACCAACCACCCTCCAAGGGCAGCAGAGAGGAGTGGCCCACTCCCCAGGACTGCCCCAGGGAGACGCTCCACACTCTGGAGCTCCTCTGGGCCCATGGGAGACGGGAGCCTGGAGTTGCCGATACTGCAGGGCCTGCTTCCTGGCAGGGAGGATGAGCCAGGTCAGCAGCCAGAGACCAGAGTGCCCAGCAGGGGCCCTGGCTATGTCTTGCCTTCCAAGAATTTGGGAGGCTGTGCTGCTGTCAGTGTTGTGGACTGGGCCTGGCATGGAGGACAAATAGGAAGTGGCCTAGGTAACCATCGGGGGAGGCTTCTGTCTGAGCAGGAAATCCAGGGAGGGGGACCCAGAAAGTGACATCACCTCCACGAAATGACACGGCACAGAACTCGGAACCCTGGTCCCCAGGCAGCTGGGTTCTGAACACAAAGCCAACCTGGCTCATGTGCCTGGTGGTCCTGGACCCAGCGCCATGTTTTCTTGCTGTTTGGACATGTTTCCCCACAGTGGCCCAAAAAGAGGTCCCCAAAACGCATGTTGCACTCTGCTGAAAGGCATGAAGTGCCTGTGTCGACCTCTCAGGCCAGAAGCTAACACTGCCCCTGAGGTAACTGGGGGGGCCCTGGGGACAGGTCAGGCCACGCCAGGGCTCTGATGACCCCACCCCTCCCTTTCCCCCATGAGTGTGGGTGTGCGAGCTGTGAGAGTGAGTGTGTGCGTGCTCAAGAAGGAGGGTCTGGCCCAACCAGGAGGTGCGTGATGTCTACACCAGGACCAGCCTGGATGGTGGTAGGACCCGAGAGTCATGGCCGCTCCCTCTTGCCCCAGTTCAGTGCTACTCAGCAGGTGTGTCTGTTTGCTCCCAGAAGGTGCTCTGTGTCCAGGAAACTGAGGAGGCCCAGGGAGTGCATTTCAGCCACTGGCCTCCCTCAGCTCAGTGTGGGATCCCACTCAGCGTAGAGCGCAGTTTGAAGCACACCCGCAACATTGAGCTTGTCACACATGTCCATAGGAACTGGCTGGAGTACATAAAGCCCATGATGGAGCTGCACGAGGGTGAGTGGCCTAGGCTGGTGCCCTGGCTTGACTGGGAGGGGTAGGGTCAGCTGCCATGGGAGGAGACCCAAGGGCTGGATTTGGACCCTAAGCAGTATGACCTGGGACTTGTAGTTGCCAAATGTAGGGAAGAAGACCCCCAAGGGCCCACTATCTGGGCCTGGTCTCCTCTCAGGCTCTAGCATGAGTTCTGTTGCCAATGTGGCGTGTGGCTGACTATCCTCTTGCATCTCTAGCATCTTCTCCAGGAGTTCAGCAGGGCTCCGCTGTAGCCCAGGGGACAGGTCTGGAGCCCGGCCAATTTATCGATTGGACGCCAACAGTCACCAGGGGTCCTGAAGGGACAGGAGAATCTGCTCCTGCATATGCGGTTCTAGAGCAACAGGAGAGCCCAGCAGGCCTGCTGGGTCAGGAGGAAAAAGCCCAGGATGATCCTGGCAGCTCTGGGGCCACCGAATACATAAAGCCCGTGGAGGATTTGCTGGAGAGTGAGTGGCCTAGGCTGGTGCCCTGGCTTGACTGGGAGGGGTAGGGTCAGGGGCCATGGGAGGAGACCACACGGGCTGGATTTGGACCCTAAGAAGTATGACCTGGGACTTATAGTTGCCAAATGTGGGGAATGAGACCCCCAAGGGCCCACTCTCCTGGGCTGGTCTCCTGTGAGGGCTCTAGCATGTGGTGTGTTGCAAAGTCTGGTGTGTGTATTTTTTATCATTATTTAAATGGTGGCCAAATTTCATATAAAACTAAGGTTTTATTCAGTTTAAGAATGAGAATTTGTTAAATAATATCACTTTCTCTAAAAATCATTGAGCTTGCAGGTTTACTTTTTGCTTCTTATTATAAGAAAACCAAAATTTAATGACATCGCACCAAAAAAAATTAAGGCAATTAAAATATGTGTTTCTGTATGAGTTATCCAGGATAATAGTGGGGTCCCCAGGAAAAGGGGAAGTTCCAGGTTCCCTGCCCCACCTAAAGGAGGGTGGAGCTGAGCAGGGAGAGAAGAAGCTGCAGAGGATTCTGAGGAAGCAGGATGGAGCCAGGAGACCCCGAGGAGGCACATGGAGCCATGTGAAGAAACTGCGCTTGCCTTTTAGTTGTGGACTGGGTGACACAGATGTGGGTGAGAGACCCGTGGGGAGGTGACATTGGTGGTTTTTGTCTTTATTTTGATTTTGTTCTTTTCCTCCCAAACTTGTCTGGTTGTTTCTGAACCTTTTCTGTGGGTCCCCACTGGAAGGTGCTTTGGACTTGGGACAGGCTTTGGGGCCTTGCTCTAGGCCAATCCTGTTTGGGTGGAATTTTTCCCACGAGGGGACAGGTAACTTTGGGTGCTTGATTTAGAAACTATATTCTTTACCTTTCCTGCATTGTTTACTAACTGTATTAACGTTCCTTTTCATTAAAATCTCATGTTTTATGTTGATGCAGCGGATGGCAGAACCCATTTAGAGCAGGCAGGTTTGTGGTGTCTGAGCTGCCCTTCTCCCTGACCTCTAACAGATTCTTTCTCATTTCTCTATTGTTTACTAATTGTGTTAAAGTTCCTTTCCATTAACATCTTTAATGTTTTGTGTTGATGGGGTAGATGGCAGAACCTATTTAGAGGAAGCAGCTTTAGGGATTCTGGGGTGCCCCTCTCCCTACCCTGTAGTAGACTGACTACATACACCTCCTGGATGACAAGTGACAGGGCCCAAGGACGTCGCCAGTTCCCCAGCAATGTGATCTCTGTGGTTGAGCCTAGGGTAACCCTGGATGTCACAGGTAAGATACTAATTTTCTGATTGCTACGGGAGCCACTTACTCTGTAGTCACCCAGCATTCGGGACCCAACTTCCTCTCCTCACAAAATATAATAGGAATGGCTTTGATGGAAGACAGAATAGAAAGACTGGAAAGGAGGTACCCTGACACCAGAACCTGACTCACAAGGAGGTGGGGATAGAGGGTAATAACATGACCATTAACTCAGCTGTAGAGGTCGTGACCCTTAGGCACCAGGGCCTCATCATAAGGCATGAGACCCAAGCAGGATCAGATGCTCTAGGGAGTGGAGCACAGGCCTGAGGGGAAAGATTTGGAGATTGGGCCCATCCTGGAATCTCCACTCCCCATCCTGGTATCTCCGGACCCTCTTGGATTCTGCGTGGTTATCCAAAATCAGCAACCAACTGATGGCTCATGTAGAGGCCAGGAACAGACACGGTACAGGTTTTCTGATCCCATGCAGACCGGGTAAAGGAGGAGTCAGAGGCCTCAGTGTGTTTTTTTTTTTTTTGGGCAGGTCTTTTATTGAGATTACCAGGTACACAACAGGCAGGGGTGCTGGGGGGCCGGGAGGCTGGCAGGCCTCCCAGCCCCCAGCAAATCCGCACTCTCTCTGGGCTCTCTGGCGTTCTCTGCTTCTGTTTTGACTTCTCCTTCAGGTTCTGCTGGTTCTGCTGCTGCTGCTGCTACTGGTGCTGCTGCTGCTGCTAGTGGCATCCCCCCACCCCCGTGACGCCGCCCTTAAAAGCACAGTCTTAGCTCAGCTGACTCCCATCTACCTATGCCCACACCCTATTCCAGGTGCCCGCCATCAGGCATGCATTCAGGACAAGGATCCATCATCTATCCTGATGGCGGAAGGGCAGAAAAGCCTGATATTTTCTTTACCCTACAGCTCACAAGGAGTGACCCCCCGCAAACAGAAGAGGACTGTGTCTGTAAAGTCTCTGCACTGGCTCGGGGCAGCACTCCCTCTGCCCACCTGGGACTGTGTAGGTTCCTCTTCTTACCAACTCCCTCCCTCTGCAGGGCAGCAGCTTCCTGCCTGCCTGTGACCTGTCAAGGCCGCCTGCCTGCAACCATGCAGGCCTCTCTCAGCAAAACCTGCCCCTTTCCCTTTCCCTAATAAACCTGGTCTTTAAATATAACTACCGTCTCTGTCTCGTGGAGAAACTCGCCCGGAAAACTCACCGCGTGCCACTGACAGGGGAGCTCTGCAGACACCTTTCCCAGAGTGAACAGCAGGACCCCGCTGTAACGCAACCAACCCATCCCGGGTAGGTTTATGAGCGGATCTAGCAGCCACATGCTCTTCATCGCTGTTTGTAGTCACCGTCCTCCTCCGTACAGGGTGGAACTGGGTGATCTCTCGCAGCTTGTCAAAATTAACTGCCTTGGAGACTGGCTGCTGCTTGGAGTCCGGCTATCAGGCAGGGGATGAAGCGTCTCAGCGAGCCCTGCCCCCCGCGACAGGCGTCAGTGTCAGTCTGGGATTCCCAGCCAGGCTCCTGGCGGGGACCTGCTTCAGGGCCTGGGGCATGGTTGTGTCAGTGAAGTGGCCTGATCTGCCTGGCCTCGAGCAGACTGAAAAACACGTTCTCTGTGATTAGAGGCCAGGGTGGAAGAGAGGATAACGTGTAGTCATGACACCGAAGGTTATAGGTGTAACCTTAGGTGTAACCTTGGGTAAGAGAACGAAATTCTTTGGTGTAGGTAGTGGGGTCCTTAGTGAAACAGCCGAGACGCTTTTCAATCTGGGAGAGATCAGACAGAGGGAAAGGATCGTGGACTCCACCTGCTCCTTCATCCCCGCAACCTCCCTAAGGGGACAAAGAGGACGACTGTGAGAGCAGGTGTGCTGGCTGGGAGGTGGAAGCGGGGGCTGGACTGGGGAGCTGAAGGAGGTGAAGACTGAACATCTAGAGGATCAGAGAATGCAGAGGAGGTGTCTGGAGAGGGCGAAGAGTGCGAGGAGGCTCTTGAGCTGCTCCGTGTCTGAGGGCCGTCTTCTCTCCCCACAGCCTCTCTCTGCAGCCCCTTGATGACCACACCCTGGAGACTGCAAAGCAGATGCTTTTCCCTTCCGCTCCCTGTGCCTTTCCTGAGGGCTATTTTTCAAATTGCAGTAACGTTGATTTACAGTTCATGCAGGGATCAGAGGTAGTGACCACACCACCCTCCACCCCAGCACCCAGAGTCCTTCCCCATATTCATTGTGCCCCCACACTCTGCTCTCCCCCTCCTTCCCCATCTAGTAGCCTCATTCCTACAGTCATGTGTCTAGGTTTGTTTTGGTTTGGGTTTTTTTCCCTTACCTTTTTGCTTGCTTTCTTTATATTCTGCATGTGAGCAAAATGGTCTGATACATGTCTTTATCCTTCTGACTGACTTCATTTAGCCAATCCCCTCCAGTTCCATCCATGGTGTTGTAAATGGCAAGATTTTATCTGTTTTTATAGCTGAGTACATATGCACATCTTCTTACCCCTCTCCCCTGCTGTTGGGCACTTAGGTTGATTCCATGACTCCGCTGCTGTACAGGGAGCTGCAGTGAGCACAGGATGCATGTGAAGAGGTCACAGGAGGAGGGAAGAGGTCGTGGCCTGGCAAGAGGGGTGGCTCCTGGAGGAGTGCTGAGAGGGAGGAAATAGGGGCTTTAGGGGAAGGAGGCCAGAAGGAGGGGAGAGGGAGGCCCAGAGAGGATTGGGGCAGGAAGGGTCAGCTTAGGGGACACTTGGTGAGAGGGGTGGTCTGTGTGGGGAGAGGCCCAGGGGCTCTGGCTGTAGAGTCTGTTATCATCCAGCAGTGACTCCCTGGGGGACGTGAGTGTGGGGGTGCGGGATCTGCTGGTTCTGTGCTGACAGCTCTGTAGCTGACCGGAAACTGTACTGAAGTTAAAGGCATCTCCGCACTGCAGGTGTGGGGTGACTCACATTCAAGGCGAAGATGGGAAAGGAAGAGGGGAGTGATGATGAAGGGATTCCCCTCTTCCAGAGCAGCCCCCCTTATTCTAGGGTGACAGGGCGAATCAAGGAGACAAGAGAGGGGGAGCCCAAGGTCTGTGCTGCCTGCTGGAGGCAGCCCTGGGGCCCTGACCCAGGGTCCAAAGGCCCTCCCTGTACTGGGACCTCACAGCCCGGTCTGAATCCATCTCAGCTCACAACCCTTAGGCCCTGGACACCGTCCAGGTACCAGGAGCCACTGCACCAGGGGGAGTGGCCCAGGCCTTGGACTCCATGTTCTAGAGCACAGAAGGCAGGGGTGGGAGGAGCCTGGAGTCTGAGGCAGCCACAGGACATCAGCCAGGAGTAGATCCTAGGTTACTGGCTAACTTCTCCCCAAAACAGAATGTGTCTCCCCATCCCCACCCTCCAGGCCAGGTGTCCACACTCATACCCAAGATGCCAAGGATGGACCCTCCTGCCCAGGGTGAACCACCTACCTTTGGAGCCTGGAGGGTGGCCCTTCCACTTCCCTATCCCTGGGAGCCCAGGCCTGGGGTCTTGTCTCTTCTCCCTCCTGGACAAAGAGGCAGGGATCTGCCATCTGGATCCCTCAGGCCTCGTTCCTGTCACCTCCTGCAATGAAAGTAAAGGTTAGTGGTTCTACTTTCTATTTCCTTGGCATATCTTTTCACTCTTTAACTTGTAAACTATTTTTGTTTGTATAGAAAGTCTTTCCAGCACACAGAGAATACAAGTCTCCTTGATATTATCCAGTCTGAGAATCTCAGGCTTTGGATTGGGATATTAGTTAATTTATTTTTAACATGATTTTTTATATGGTCTGATTTGAGTCTATCATTCTGATATTTATTTTTCAATTGTCTCACATCTTTTTTATTCCATTTCATCTTTTTCTACCTTTCTTTGAGTCAAGCAAATATTTTTTCTGTGAAATTAATTCTTCATGTGGCTATAGATATTTTATTGCAGTGCACTCTATTGTAAGTATTTAAATCTGTATTTTTAATTTTTCAAAATCTACTTAATTGAACTACATCCCATAACGTACAGGAAATTTACAGCAATATAGTTCTATTTAACCACCTTAATGTTATTATTGTAATATATATATTAAACCAAAATACAATTTACCCCAATAAAACTTTATAATAAAAAAATTAAGTAATCATATCTGTTCAATACATTAAGACAAGTCTACAAATAAAGAGTATTCTGTGTGTCTCTGTTGTTAGTTACTGCTCTAATGTGTGAGTTATTAGCTAGTGCCATTTCCCTTGTCCTGGAAGAATTCCTTTAACATTCCTTAGGATAGAAGTGCTAGCAATGAATTCTCCGTTTTTAATTATATATAGTGTATTTACTTTGTCTTCTTTCTCCCCTTTTATTTCTTAAGTTCTTTATATGAAATAAAATGTCACAGCTCGTAGAGATGCCATTTGTACCAACAGCAAATAGCCTTAGAGAGGCTGGGCAGAAGCCACCAGCAAACAGCTCCATTGGAAACACCAGGGACAGCTGACGATGCTCTGCAGGCAGTGTTAGAGGCAGGGCCAGAGGCAGGTGTGATGATGAGGTCTCGGGAAAGGTCTCAAAGGTATATTGAGGTCTCAAAGTCTGCGGAGGTCTTGGCAAAGATCTTTCTAGGAGTACTTATGAATCTGACCTGCAGTGTCTATCACGTGGCTCAGGCTGGCTACTGCTCCGGCTTGTATCCTCTTCAGGATCCCAGCTATTCAAGCCTGACTAGCCCCTTTATAATCCCAGCTGTTTGGTTTGTGCCAGTTGAGCTCCAATCAGATTGGTCCATTTAGAGCCCTGAATTGTCTCATAAACCTTGAATGGCTTGAGAGCTATGAAAACATATTTGCTTGACTCAAAGAAAGGTAGAAAAATATGAAATGAAATAAAAATGATGTGAGACAATTAAAAAATAAATATCAGAATGATAGACTCAAATCAGACCATATAAAAAATTATGTTCAAAATAAATTAACTAAAAAACCCTAAAGCCAGTAGAAGAAAGGAAATAATAAAAATCAAAGCAGAAATAAACAAATTGGAAATTAAAAAAACAATCTAAAAGATCAATGAGGGGCCTCCCCTGGTGGCGCAGCGGTTGAGCGCTGGGCTGCGAAGCTGCGCACAGCCTCAGCAGCGCGGGTTCGATCCCTGGCTGCCAGGCGAGGGTCTCACATGGTGCGCAGACCTCTCCTGCCACCCACTGCTCCCCTCAGCAGTGTACTCCGTCACTCTGCCTGTTCTGCTCTTCGCTCTGGCTCTGGTGAATTCTCTCACCCTCCCGCGCTTCTGACTGTACCCAGTGCTTGTATGAATAATAAATAAATCTTAAAAAAAAAAATACAAAATAAAAGTCAATGAAACCAAAAGTTGGTTCTTTGAAAAAATAAACAAAATAGACAAATCTCTAGCCAGTCTCACAAAGAAAAAATGGGAGAAAGCACATATAAATAGGATTGCAAATGAAAAAGGAGAAATCACAACAAACTCAGTAGAAATCAAAAGAATAATCGGAGATTATTATGGAAACTTATATGCAAACAAATTCAACAACCTAGAAAAGATGGACAAATTCCTAGAAAAATATAATCATCCAAAGCTGGACAAAGAAGAAATAGACAACGAAACAGACCAATTACAAGCAGTGAAATTGAGGCAGTAATCAAAGCACTTCCCAAAAACAAAAGCCCAGGCCCAGACAGCTTCACAAATGAATTCTACCAAATTTTCAGCAGTGAACCAGTGCCTATCCTACACAAACTCTTTCAAAAAATTGAAAAAAAAAGGAATACTACCAAATGCGTTCTATGAAGCCAGCATTACACTACCAAAACCAAACATACACAGCACAAAAAAAAAGAAAATTACAGACCAATCTCACTAATTAACACTGATGAAAAATCCTCAACAAAATCTTTGCCAACAGAATCCAACAATGCATCAAAGGGATAGCACACCAGGACCAAGTGGGATTCATTCCAGGGACACAAAGATGGTTCAACATATGAAAATTGGTAAGAGTAATCCAACACATCAACAAAAAGAAAAATAAAAACCATATGATCATATCAATAGATG